GGCTACGTCACGCTGATGTGTGGGGATGGCACCAACGACGTTGGAGCCCTCAAACATGCAGATGTGGGTGAGTGTGTGAGCAGGACTCTCCTATTTGCCCTTGGCAAGCACAGAACCTGTCTCTGGGTCCTTTCTTTGCTGTTTGGAGGGCTGGAATCAATCTGACCAACATCAGACGTTGGCAGAAATCAGTGTCGGGCAGGATGTGTGTGCTGGGGGGATACCCACTGTGTGGACCAGCATTGTTCTTTTCCCCCACTAAGCTTCACTTGAAGTGAACACCTCTGGGGTCCCTGTATCCTGCCCACCTGAAGCCAGTTGGGATCCCTACAGGGTGCAAATGCTCTTCTGGCAAAGGAATTGCAGAGCTCTTCCCCTGCAGCTCCTTGTCTTGGTGCTCCTACAGGGGTGGCCCTGCTGGGAAACGCTCCCGAGAAGCTGCCCGAGAGGAGGAAGAGAGCTCGGGATGGACCTGGTGATGGGAAGGCTGCTCTGCCGTCCATGGGCAGTGGGATGGTGAAACCCACCTCCCGTGGGGCCAAGCACAGAGTCATGTCCCAAAGAGAGGAGCAACTGGCCATCCAGAGGGTTGGTAACGATGTGGTTCAAAGCCCTTTAACGTATCCTTGCTCTTTGTTCCTGCTCTGAGTTAGTGCTAATACTGGAAATGGGAGGATGTACCGGGAAAAGAGCAGCTTTCCTGTGCTTGCACCCAGACCCCCCCTGCTCTGGGCTGCATCCCCACATGGGTGGATGGCTTGGTCATGGAGGGGATTCTCCACCTCTGCTTCGCTTGTAGAATATCCTTTAGAAAGCACCAAGTGAAGGACTTTAACCTGCCAGAGGGGAGATGGAGATGGGATCTTAGGCAGAAGCTCTTCCCCGTGAGGGTGCTGGGACACTGGGATGGGTTGAATGGAGAAGGTTTGGCTGCCCCATCCCTGGCAGTGCTCAAGTCCAGGTTGGACACAGGGGCTTGGAGCAACCTGCTCTAGTGGAAGGTGTCCCTGCCCGTGGCAGTGGTTGGAGCTGGATGGGCTTTAAGGTCCCTTCAACCCAAACCATTCCATGATTCTGTGATGGGGGCAAAGAAGGTGCTGCTTTTCCAGCCATCAAGTGAACCGTAGAATCAACCAGGTGGGAAAAGAGCTTTAATTCCATCAACTCCAACCGTTCCCGGCAGTGCCAAGGCCACCACTAACCCCTGGCACTGAGGCCTTGTCTACCCAGTGTGTGAACACACGGACGGTGCCCCCAGCCCCTCCGTGG